TGAGAGAAATACTTCTTTTCTTTTTCAGTCCTTGAAGCTTGCCTTTTCTAGTTTATTTTTCATTTAATGTAAAGTTATCCGATGTATGACGTGTTTTGCTGATGGGTTCTAGCTATTCATAAGCTAAATTTTGCAATGCTTCTATTTTTTATGATATTACCTTCACCTTCACCCTCACCCTTATTTTTATTCTTTTTCTACTTTAATAAACTACCTTGAATCCTATAGAGCACTCAGGGAGTGGTGAGGAGGTGAGGGCTTTGCGTTATACCCCAGATACCTATATATATATATATAGTGTTACGTAGGTCTTAGGTCCAGGGGTTATTAGCAACATTTTAGAAATTTAGTTTTAAATTTTTGATTCCATTGATAGTCGGCCCGAGTGCTTGCAGACTAATATTCCAAAGAAACGTATCACGGAAGCGAAGAAAGGCAGCGTGTTCTCTATTTTTCAATTAGCATCATGGACTTATTTCAAGACCTCTTCAATGAACTCGATGCCACCCTTAGTAAGCTCCATAATTGCGTACGAGATGTCATTGAGGCAGACACCTTGCCTGAGAAGAAAAAACAGGAGATGGCTGCACGCCCACTCGTTCGCGAGGCTCGCAGTATGCTTTCAGCTCTGAGGGCTGAGGCTCGGAGAACCGAGGATGAACAAGTTCGCATAAATTGTGAGGCGATGTGCCGACTTCGTGATGAAAGGATTAGAAATTGTGAGAAGGAAATGAGAGAGCAGATTTACCCTACTCGGGCTTCTGCGCGTCAGAAAACATTGCAAGAGCAGCGCGAAGAAGAACTACTGGGGGAAGGTAGACTGGACGGTAGTGGCTTCACAAGCTCTCAGAAGGTTTTACATGCAGCTGTGAACATTCAGAAGGATGCTCTTGAGTCTATTCAACGCTCCGAGCAACTGCAGCACCAGACGGAAGAAACTGGCAGAACTACCTTGCAAACAATACAGAAGCAAGGTATGCAAATGTACCAAGTTGATGAGGAGCTACGTGATATCAATGGCATGTTGGACCGTGCTTCGCGGGACTTGCGCTGGTTTTATAGGCAAGTTTCAGCTGATAAATGCTTCCTTGTGCTTTTAGGATGTTTAGTTGTAGGTATGCTGGTATTGGTGTTCGTTTCTATTTATATGAAACGAAAAAGGGACGCACATAAAACATAGTGTCATGGATTCTTGCTCTAGATATTGAATAACATGGGTTGTACTTGTCGTAAAAATCTCATTTAATAGTGAAAAGAAAACCCTAATGTCGTGGGGTAAACAACGCTTTTAAGAGGACAAAGAGGTGTGAAGAGAGCGGAGAACTGAAGTGAGCTCAAAACAAAAAGAATATACGCTCAGTTATTGCTTCTTGATGGTCGAAAATTTCCCCCTGTAACTCGTTTCTAAAGCTTTATTGCACAATATATCTTTATGGTCGATAAATTCATCGAGTAGTATTCTCACGCTTGTGCGTCGTATAGCATAGATAATCTTCTTGTCATATTTCATTTCATTAACATTTGACTTTTGTTCTTCAAGGGTATATGTTTTTTCCTCTATGCTTCTTGAAGCTTTTAGTGCCCTGTTTCTTTTTCGATTACTTTTTTTTGCATTTGCCTATACCTTTGCATACAACAAAATAAATATATTAAATTGAAGTGCTTATGCACAATGCTTAATTTGTGCGTTTAAATACAGCAGCTGGATGTTCTGTTTCTATTTCAATGGATAATGTTATAGACAATATATATATACTCATTCAATCCTATGCTTTCAAATCGATTCCCTTTTTTTGGTCCATTTTTGTGATTGCGAGATTAGTAAGGGAAAAGGTTCCTATCGTTATACATATATACGTATATATATATATATATATATATTCAACGTGTATATTATTCGGCATTAGTTTTTTATTTTGAGAAGGTAGGAGGCTTCTTATTTCGACAGAATTCATATACACAGTGCACTCAAGGGGAACAAGTAAATAAAGTATTACACACTGAGCAATACACTCAACTACAGATTTTTGCTTTTTTTCTTTCCTACAGCCTGCTAGTTGAGTGTATAGAGTGAAAGCTGACAGTCTTGAAATAGGAAGGGGAGGAGGGCAACTGCAGTTTAAGCGGCAAAAAACAAAGGAAAGGAACTTATTTTGTCTTTAGGCTCATTTTCAAACTACCATTAGATATCGTTTGCATCTCTTGAAAAGTATCCCCCCTCCCCAACGAAGAGAAACCGTTAAAATCTGAAAACTCCAAACGATAAAAAGCACACGGTGAGGATCATTAAGACGTCGAAAGTGTAGGCGGAGAGCCAAGTTAGAGCAATGTCGGCTACTACAACACGCGTGGACTTGGGCAACCCCACAACACCTCCCACCCTTTCGGTACCATCAGAAGCTGCGGTGGACAACAAAGCCAGGGAAGAATCGTGTGTTCAATGTGCGTCGCCTTATGCCACTTATGTTTCTATAGATTATATGCAGCGTCTGTGGCTACTGCGCAGCGTGAGCCGTACCCTTTTAGCTCCCTTGGATCGTATCAAATTTGTAATGCAGACCCAAAAGGAGCTGATAAGGCATGGTACACTCGCCCGAGAGTTTTACAGCACGTGGGAGTGCGTGCGATACCTTTCAGTGGTAGAGGGCAAGCGAAGCTTTTGGCGCGGGAATCTTATTCAAGTAGTTGCAATACTTCCGATTGCTCTCGCACAGTTATTTATCGCTGCTCCAATAGAGGGGCTCATTTTCGAAAGCTTTCCGATGCACTCTGCCCTTTCCTGTACAGTAGCAAGCTATGCATCCATGCTGGGAGGGGCTCTCGCCTTGTGCCTTATTAGTTACCCCCTAGATTTTGCGCGCTTTCGTCTCGCTGTAGACATCAAAACATGCAGAGAGTCGCCGTACGCCTTCAAGCATAGCCTGGCCTTCTTCTCGCAGCCTGTTCTGAGCGAGTTCACGCCGTATCTCTACAGGGGCCTTACGCTCTACGTCTCGGGCAGCTTTGTATACAAGGCTGTGTACAACGTTCTCATCAACCTGGTGCTCCCCTACATGCCGCCGGACAGGGACGCCAGCTGGTGGCCGATCCTCGTGCAAACCGCGACGAGCATCACTGTCGCCGGTGTTGCGACGTTATGCTTGCATCCGATAGATCTTGTCCGGCACCGCTTGATGATCGCGGTGACCTCCGACCGGCTACGGTATCCATCAGCTATGAGCTGTGTTAGGCGAATCGCGCAAAAAGAAGGACTGCGTGGGTTTTACCGTGGAGGTACAATAACCCTAGTGAGGTTTATGGCAGCAATGGGATTAGTGTTCGCTAAGCTGCCTCTTTGAAGGTTGTAGAAAAGATAATATATATATATATATATATATATATATATATTATGTACTAAAGTTAGTAAGTAAAGGAATAANAAGAGATA